AGGGGACACATAAAAAGTATTGTTTATGCCACTTTTGTTGCCTCCTTAGAAGAACTACGCTTAAGAATATTTCAGGCAGCAGATGACCTTCGCAATAACCAAGAACTGTTTGTGCGAGTGCGTTATAACTTCAACAGACGTATTAGGTTATGCTTGCAGCAAAATGGAAATTATTTCGAGAATATTATTTAAATTTAATTTTGCATTTCGTGTTTTTCGTTTGTATTAAATTTTATTTCAGATAAATAACTTTACCTAATACATGTCCCATAGTCATGTTACCAAACATTTTTCATTAATTAATAACAAATTATTCTTAATGTTATTATTAAATTACCAGCTTATTGACAGAAAGTGTCAATTTATTAATATGATAAATAACAATTTATTTGTTCCGCCTACTTTATTTTTACAAATTTTCGCAATTACCCCTTTAGTGAGCGATGACGCGACTAATTTTTTTACTAGAAAACTATCGGTTTTATCGAAAAAATACAAGAGGTAAAAAAGTTGCGCAATAAATCAGTCTTCCCAATAAATATTTTTAAATAAATAATATGCTTCATATAAAAAATTTCTAATAAAATATTGCAATGGGGCCATAAAATACGCCAATGCTCGAACAAATATTGAAAAGTTGTCTCTTTATTAGTAGGATGCTCATACCAAGTTTTGTGTCTCTAGCATTCTTCATGTTAAAGAAAAAAAGTAAAATGTGAATTTCAATCCCCTCCTTTAAGAGGGTATATCGCCTCAGGGGTGCAACTTTCATATAAGGAATTTTTCATTCGTCTGAATGAATATATTTTCGAGAAATTGTTTCGCGTGATCGATGCAAAAATGTTTTGGTTACTTCAGATGGAAGAATTTTCTTTTTCAGTTCTTCAGCAAAATATTCACCTCCCTTTTTTGGTGAGCAGAGGTTACAAATAAGATCATTTAGCTTACTCTGACAAAATGTTAGCGGATGTTTCTATGGAATATCATTTTTCGCTTATCATATGTTTGTAAATGCTGGTGTTATTCGCAATTACTTGTTCTAGTAACGCATGAATAGAAACTACCTATTATCCACGTACGTGTGACAGATGACAGTTTCCACATTTTATTTCAGCTAACAATATCCAGCTTTCTGCAACCAAGCTGAGACTACCAAATGCGTTCGCGGAATACATAATATCTTTCCTTGCAACCGAATCACATTGCTCTGAGGAAGTTAAAAGTTTAGAAATGTAATTTTAACGGTTCTCTTTCTCAAGTTGAAATCCCCATTGTTATTATAGGGAACAGGACTCATTTTAAGTTTCCTGCACAAGACGCGACGTATGATTACGTCTCGGATATGATCTGGCAACGGTAAAAGTAAAACTTTTGCTATAAACTATACATAACAAATTTGCTGGCCACTGTAATGCTACCATTCGTCGTATTATCGTATTTTTCGTTGTTTCACCTTAAGTAGTCTTTCTTCTGCCAATATATCTTTTAAAGCTTGAATAAAATACTACCAGTGATAAAACTGATATTTTTTTTCAGCCAGGAAAGCATTACTTTTTTACCTTTATATCTCTCCTCTATCTTTGTTCGGTCAAAGCGTCCTTTAAAATAAAAAACATGATGATTAGAACAGACGGAAATGTGCTCTAGTTATGGCCAAGCAGCACAGGTCGAATGGTCTAGACTAAATTAGCTTCTTCAGTTGGCTTCCGTCTTAAGTTTTCACTGGGGAGATGTATGAAGAAAACGACCGTCTACTAGGGCACATTACCATAAAAATTGTAGAATTTAAAAAAGAGGTGGAACCAGTGACGACTCCGTTTAGGAAATTATGTAGAGAATGCCACAAATGTTTTCATTTCCGTTTAACTAAGAACACTCCTAAGAACATTAGACTAAAGTTTCTTTTTCTTTGCAGAATTAAATAATTTGAATTAAATGTTTTCTACTTTCATTCTAATAAATAAATAGTTTATTATCTCTGAATAAATTTTTAGTTGGCCGAATACAAATAAATTATTTATTTGGCTCTAATAAATGATAATTTTCCCAATTAAATCATCAACTCAGTAATAGACTTGCAGATAGATGTTGCGATGTAGATTATTTATCTCTGCTCCTTTTAACAAGGCACTTTCTTAAATTTTTTCTTTTAAAATTTTGAATCGGCTGAACTTCTCGCACAAACAAGAAGTTTCTGTAGAAAGTCGCCAGTCGTCGTTTTCAGAAAACTAAAGCTAAAGTAGTGCTATTATCGCTGACTCAATTTTTTATTATAAGGTAATGTTGCAGGTAATTTAATATTAATTAAGAAGGAATTAAAAACAATAAGCAACATATCGCTTTTGAATGTTCAGTATAACTTTATAAGAATTTTAAACCACCTACGACATTATATGTCTATATAGTTTTTAAAAACCGTTAAGGGATTTTCTCCAAAAATATGCTAATAAATTTTTCATATATTATGACGTTAAGTATTCAAGAATTTCTGATGAAAATTTTTGGATATGTATACACTATACAGGGTGATTCACAAATGATGACCTAAAATGAAACTTCGTATTCTTTGGTGAATTTTAAAAGGAGACTCCTATAAAGTTTTTATCTAGGATGCTTTGTTAAAAAGATACAGGGTGTTAAACTCCAAGAAATGTTTTTTATTTTTTTAAATAATTTAAAAACTAGTAAGTGAAATAATTTGAAATTGGGCACATGTATTTATGTAAACATTGTCCAAAATCTGAGGGCTTTTCCTACAATTTACTTGCTCCAGTGGCGCAGATACAGGGTATCGGTGGCATATTTTTCTAAATAAAACAGTACGAAACTGCTTTACGGTAGCAACCGTGATATTTTCGGATTCATCTATCAATTTTCTACAAATCTTCTTCTCTTATGTTTTTCGAAAAAAAGCCTGGTTTTTGGGGTAAAATTTAAAAACCGAACTGAGGACACACTTCGATATTCGAATATAATGCTTTTTAAAATTACATAGTGGGCTGCGATAGCGACTTTGACATTCTGAGCAGTTAGAAGAAAGAACAAATAATGCTTTTCATCAGATTCAAGCAACAATAAATTTCGAACAAATTACATTTTCGTTACTAAAAAGATGTCGGGCCTGTGTTCGTGGAAATGGAGGTATTTTTGAGCATTTATTTAAATAAAATCATTAAAATGATGACTAATGTTATTAATTTCTTTATTCGAATAAATAACCGAATGATTAGTGCTTGTCATGTCATTTAAGTAAAAGTGTTTTCAGTTGGTTTTTTAAGTTTTACTCGAAAATCGGGATTTTTTCGAAAAACATAAGACAGTAGTAATTTGTAGAATATTGAAAGTCTAATCTGAAAATATCATGGTTGTTACCGTAAAGCAGTGGCGTACTATTTTATTTAGGAAAATGTGCCACCGATACCCTGTATTTCCGCCACTGGAGCATATAAATTTTAGGAAAAGCTTTCAGATTTTGTTAATAGGTATTACTAGCTAGCTACATAGCGATATTTTAGAGTATATAATTTATTTAAGATTAGATGTCTAGTGTAGAGAAATACACGTTATACTGTATGTAATTACCCACAAATAAGGTAATCTTCTTGAAATCACAGAAAATGTAGGTACCGTTTCCAAAAATCAACTCAACTTTGTCAATTTATCTGTTAAGGTAAAAACAAACTTGTCAGAGCTTTTATTCAATTTTTTAGACATTAAATGTAACATTATTATTTGCAAATTGACTTCTCAGGAAATTTGCGTTTGTTAGGAACAGTTTTTTATGTTGCTATTATTTATTAAAATGACGTTTTCCTCCTACTGAACTACGCAACAAATATAATGACATAAAAAATTGAAGAAACCAAAGTTTTCTGAAAATTCTGTTAATCTTACCTTCCACAGTTGCACTGATGAAGTTCTAATGCAGTATATTCAGAAAACACAAAAAAAAATCACAAAATCATGAGGAGTAAATAATGTACAAAAATTTCATACATTACTGTTTAAAATTTTGAGAGAATTTACAATTTGTTATGATTGTAAAAACAATCGTGTAAATTTTTTTCCCGTTTACAATACATCCAGTAAATTGAACAAAATAGCAAACTTCAACACCTCAAGTGTTAGAAGTGTGTCTTTTTAGTTTTCTACTTAGAATAACCCGAATCAACCAAAGATATGGCCAAATTTGATTTAAATAAAATAATTTTTAATGCCTTGTATTTCAAAACAAGAAACAGAGACATAGTCTACACAGGAGAAGATTGTCTTATGTATTTACGGATGTTCTATCAGTCTCTGAATTTATAACAATATTTTACAAAACATTCCGTATATTAATTTAAAATTTGGAACAGTAAATGAAGGAAAACCTTAAGAATTAACGGACACATTTACTTGTACGATTATATCATGAAAGAAAAGTTCTAAATTTGAGGATTAATTCTTATTTAACACGTAATTTTTTTAAAAATTTCTTAAAAATATAGAAATAAATATACTTAAATTTTACATAGCAGAATAAATTTTATACCATATTTTTAGTAAATTCATAAAAAATGTAGGTAATATGTACAGACTGAGATTGACTAAAATTTTCTGTTTGTTAGTATAAAACAGTATCGCATCTGTGTTTATGTAAAATATATAGTTAACCTAGTTTCGATTAAATATATAGCAAGTAATATTTCTGGCGTTACTAATAAAATTCAGCATATTACAATTCCTTCCAATTTTATTAAACCTTTCAACTTAACATTTAATATATAGTTCCTATGTTGTACTAAATTCATTTTAAGTACGAATCTCTACGAGAAAACATTTTTGGATAAATATAAAACAAATTACCATCAATGTTAATAAATCCACACTGTTGTCAATGACAATGTGTAATTTGTATCAGTTATTAATAACAGTATTATAATTGTTTAGAGTTAGTTCTGAAAATGCGATATCACATTTTTTTACAAAGAATTAGCTATACTTATAGGTGGACGTACCTAAAATACTGTGACATCCTTGGCATCAAGAACTGTAGGAAGGTGTATAATCAAATTAACTGTTTTGCACTAATTATACACTTTACGAGAAGATGGAAATTTGTCACTATTTACAGCATTAAAACTCTCTCCACCGGCCCACTCGTCTCTTGTACAGAGAACCCAAGACTGATCACCAACCCACCATGGCTCGGTTTTGTGGAACGATACACTCGTACACTGCACTTGCTGTACCTCATCCGTAACATTATTCAAGAAACTAACCGTAAGACGTCTTTCTTCAGTGTTGGGTGAAAACTATAATACCAGCCTTGACAAACTCGATTATAATTACTTTTAATACATATGAAAAATATAACTGAACATACAAAAATAAAATTTTTCAAAAATTGTACTTTTTTCATATGTATTTTATTATTGAGTCTAGTATTTTTACTTTATTTTAAGGCTATTGATCTAATTCAAATATATTCAAACCACAAAAATCCTATCAAATCCAACAATGTTTTTTAATACCATAAATCTAGGTACCTACCTACTTAAAAGATTTCTAATCACATGGATAAAGTTCTTAACCAATGGTATTATGGGAAACATTTACTTTATGGGCTTTATGTAGAATTGAATTATACTAGCAATATTTAATAAATTACATAGTAAAAAGGGCAGTTGTCAAATGCACAAATAGTTAATACCTATCATGGCTATATTTACGTGTAACTGTTACATTAACAGTGTTCAGGTTAAAAATAAACAAAAAGTTCATATAACCTTCGAAATTGAGATCGTTTCCAAAACAAAACAAAAAATTACGAGGTGTGGCTATAAAATAACGAGACTGATGCTACTACAGGTGAACTACACATGCGCCAAAGTCGTACGATCGACAGCACCTTTCAAGGCGAGTATCCATTTGTGTCAAATGCCCCGTAACGTAACACCGAACATGTTACGTTACAGCTAGTGGAGACGGAAAATTGTTGCGTGGTACGTGTAACAAATTTGACACGCATAACTAATCCGGGACGAACCATCAGTTGTCGGTTTTTAGCCGTCGCATCAAAGAGATGCAACAGTACTTTCTGCCACATGTTGAGACGGGGTTACCCTTTTGGCAGTAACGTTGCCTGTTGCACATGTGATTTTGTCTTATTTTTTGTTTCGTCAGTCTTTTGTATATGGTTTGGGGTCAGTCTGTTTTCTGCAGTGACTAGGAAGAGTGTGTTTTTCTGTGTTTGTGCCATGAAGTGGAGTAAAGAAAATATTTCCGGAGATTTCCGTTTCTTATTCTTCAAAATTGTATGATGAATAAAAAAATATATGACGCTGCTGCTAACTGCAATTGCAGTGACGAATCCATTATTGCAGTTAGGTTCATACTGCGAGTTTATCGTCGTCTCGTAACCTTATTTTGTTACGCTACGGAATGAATGATACGACCAAAACCACACATACTTTCTCAGGGAACCGTGTCACCTTTTGCAACAGGCCGTAACATGTTCGTTGTTACGTTACGGAGCATTACCACAAGTGGATACCCGCCTTTATGTATCGTGGATCGACAGCTGTGACTTGATTGTTCACTTATGATCCAGAAACCAAGCGTCAATCCATGCATTGGAAGAGTCCAAATTCACCGAGATGGGATTGTGTAGGTAGTTGTGTACCTTCACTGGGCTCCTGAAGGTCAAACTGTTAATCAACGTTACTACCTCGAAGTTCTTGCTAAACTCCTTTAAATAATTAGAAAAAAAAAATTCAAATTGTGGAAAAGAGTAATGGGTTCTTCATCAGGACAACGCCCGGCTCACACTGCATTGTTTGTCAAGACCTTTCTAGCCAAGTATAACATCTCAGTGCTAAACCATCCGCTTTATTCGCCTGACATGGCACCATGTGCCTTTTATCTGATCCTCAAGGAAATCTCCATTAAAAGGAACAAGATTTCAGACCGTTGAAGCCGAGGAACAAAAAGCTAACAGAGAAAGACTTCCAGCATTGTTTTGACCAATGTAAAATTCGCATGAAGCGATGTAGAGATAGAGGAGGGGTGTATGTTGAAGGGGACAATTTAAAATAAAAAGCACTAAAGCATCAGTCTCGTTATTTTATAGCCACATCTCGTATATTATATTACTTTTTAAATTTAAGCGTAGGACCTTAAATGTTGGTAGTAGCGAAAAAATCAAAGAGATCAAAATTGTAGAAAATATAATTCTTTCCAACTTTGTTTATGTATATTTATGTCGTAAAGTCAATAACAAACGAGATAATTCAATAATTATACTTTGTCACTATTTTCCCCCTTAACTTAAAAATATCGATCGCACGATAAAATTTGTAATAAAAGAAGTTATAGGAAATCGCATTTGCAACAACTTAAGTCCTTACCATTTTGTCTAACCCGACTGGAGTATTTATAAAAACGAATTTTTACGTGCTCGCGAACGATTCACAATCATCCAGCGATCTGTTTGTAAAATGTACGTGTTAAGATCGCGAGCAGTTCGTGTAACAACAGTGCCCTTTATATTTGCTCACGTTGAACTGCCCAAAATTCCCATCGACTGTTGGTACCTTCAAAAGGAATATTCGCCGAACTCCGATTTGGTGTAGACAGTAGAAATGTCAGTATCAATTTTGCCCCATGCATGGAAAGACAGATGAGAAACTTGTGCAACTTATATTATAGTAAAATACCGAGAAAAGGAAGTATTGTGTAATTTTAAATTAAATTACATAAATATAGAAATAAAACAAAACAAGAATGAAGCATGGAAGCAGTCAAAGAGAATTAAATTATTTATTTAAAGTCTATAGTTGAAAGTGATAAAAGCTTTTAAATCCTCTTGCATTCTCTACACTGCTGTGAAAAAAAAACCGCTTTTGCCAGTTCTGTGGACAACTTTGCTGACGTTTAAGTAATATCTTGATTAATATAGTCAGGGCAAGATAAAGTTTGAACTGCTTCATATGACTTTATCATTTTTATACGCCGATAAACGCAGAGCACTAACACAACTTCTTGGAGAATAACACTAAAGGCAAACATTTGTGTTGCGGCCTGTTTGCGAGGTTTACGCGAGCTGATCACGAACAGGTTTTATATGTATTATAAAACTTGAGAGTCTTTATGTTTCTAAGCATCATCATCGCAACCCTAAGATATTGGAGACAGATCCTCCAGAAGAGCTACTGCTTGCGTTTACACAAAATACGAGTCGCTTTTAACCTCCCACGGCGACAAGCACAATAAGTCATAAAAAGATTCTACTTCTTCTACGCAAAGTAAATACACATCTACATGTATACAGACCGTTGCAGGGCTTCACGTCATGAATTCAGAAGCATACAAATGAAATTAGAAATACTTTCTTGTTCTGTTAAAGACATTAGACGTATATTGAGTTGATCTACATACATATAATAAGTTATTTATTAGTATGTTTTAAGCATGTTTTAAGCAGTGCGGTTATCATCATAATTGTTTTATATAATTATAAGTTATTAATTATATACGTATTGTTTTATAGACTTTATCTCTTTCTAGGCTAGTTCTTCTAGTTCAATAATTGGATTTCACTCTAAATAAATAAATAAACAGATTCCTTAAAATTAATCGTCACTGCACTACAACTGGCCTCAAAAATATATTAAAAACTAAATATTTTACAAATAGGTCGCTGTCAATTTAGTGTTCACATTTGTAGTTGAGTTAATCTTTATTTGTATTTAATCTCTAAAATGGTATAATTTACATTTAATGAATGTGCAAATGTGCATTTATTGCATGGGTTGGTGAAGTTATAGAAGTTAGAAGACTTTATTATAGATATACAAAAAAAATCTCTCACTCCTAAGCAAACAAATATATGTATATTTTTTACGGCTACCTTCAGTTCTTGTTTTATTGCATCATTTGCATTCTCGACAGGCTGTCATCAAACATTTTACTTATTTGATAATAAAAATTAAATTACTTTGTGAAGCTCAGAAACTTGTTTATGCTCTACTACACTATAATTTTATAAAACACCTATCACGGAAATCATATACATATGTAGATTATTAGATTTATATTTCATGTTTTATTCAATGTAAATAATATTAATTGAGGCTCGTTAATTTTAATTAAGTTTTTCAGTAAAATGTAAATCAAATCTGACATTAAATGATTTCGGTGCATTCATTAATACTTTAATATAACGGGACTAAGAGACTTTAATTTCTGTGAAACGAAAAAGTATATAAAGACGCATTTTGGCAAAACGCGTAACAACATTCGCAAAGGAAACATCGAGAAATTAAAATTTTACTTTGGTAAACAAGATTTTGCAATAGGTGTGTTTAAATTTTATATTAGGAAAGCAAATAATATAAATAAAATAATATGTGAGTCATAATAATAAAACTGATTAGAGAACAGTTGAAAATGTCAACATGTCTACATCATCTACACTACCAGCAAGGTTATTACTACGTAACAAAGGGATGGTGGTATTATTGCAACTGTAATATTTGGCAATAACAAACACGTACTAATTATTAAGACCTTTTAATTCAATTCGCAGATAATGCAAATAATTTAATTTTATTTAATATATTTAAATTTATATGAGTTTGTCAGTGTCGTTTCAGAAAAATCTTGCTTTGTGTAAAGAAGAAATTACTATTAGCAACGTAATGGCAACATAGTAACGTATATTAACATAATCCACTTTTTTTCTACAACAAACACGGGAAAAAATCTAAATTATAAAAGGCTTTGTACTACTAAGCATATCAGTACATGCTTACCAAATATTTTCTGTAATTTGTTCAAACACATTTGATTTGCTTATGCATTGTTGAACTTCTGAATTATTTTATTTATAGTGCATTATCACTAATGAGCTGTACTGTATAGCTAATGGATTTGTTGGATCTTTATTGAGACAAATAGAAATATTAAAAGTTATCGTTATGGTGCTTTTGTTACACATACACTAGGCTTCAGTGGTTATAAAGAGAATCGGAACTCAAATGCAGAAAGGAGAATTAAAACGTTGTTTATTATCCCTATTCATATAATATGCAAGTTTTACAAAGCTGATGCCTTTCAAAAATTAAATCCGATATAAAATGTTTAACACTAATACATCAACTCCTGTACTAGAGTAACGTTACCGATGTTCTTCGGAATGAATAACATGTATATGTTTCACGATGTTCTAGTTACAAAAACTGTGCAATCTTATTAGGAATCATAGAAAGGATATTCTTGTCGACTGGTTGGTTGTAACATCTACCTGCTTGATAGCGCATAAAAGAGCGTGAAA